CAGACAGACAGACAGCCAGCCAGCCAGACAGACAGCCAGCCAGCCAGCCAGGCAGGCAGGCAGACAGACAGACAGACCTATTGACTATTGACTATTGACATTTATTGATATAGATTGGGATGATTGACAAGGGGTCAATGGCAAATCTTCCACCCAGACATGGCATATCTGCAATGCCGCATGCCTGTATACTCTCTATTCCATGGGAGTCCTTTGGGATGGGAGCATCCCTTTTCTCCAGTCATTTCGCCCCTGCCGGCGCAGCGCCTCACGGAGGCCAACAAGACCACGGCCCCGCCGGTCCCCGAGTGCAAGAACTGCACGGGCTGCGGCGATCAGCGCGAATGCCTCCGCATCGTGGACGCCTTCTTCGAGACCGCTCCCAGGGGCAGCATCGGGCTCTACAGGACCTATGCCCAGAAGTTGAATGGAGGCTGTGAGAGTTGTTGAAGCAAGAAAACCAGAACAAAGACCAAAACGCATCTGTTTTGTTAGAATTCTTCACCTGAGGCGAAGTTGTAGGCTTTTTCAGAGCCGGCGAGGTTAGGGGACTTAGGGGAGAGAGACTGTAGTTTGGTTGACGTGGACGATATGCCATGATATAATGTCCACCTCTAAACAATACCCCCCCCTTGATCAAGTGCGGGCCCCAAATAACGTGAAATCCAGAAATATCCTAGAAAATTTTGATTTGAATTGGACATGAAAGGAAAGGAACGGAAATCAAAGGAAAGGAAAAGCAATGAAAGGAAACGAAAGGACATTGAACGGACAATGAAAGGAAAGGAAATGAAAATAAAATGAAAGGAAAGGAAAACAACATTGAAAGGAACATGAAAGGAAAGGGACCATGAAAGGAAAGGAAAGGACAATGAAAGGAAAGGAAAGGACAATGACAGGACAATGAAAGGAATTATAAAGGAAACCACGAAAAGAACAAACCAGGCATTGTTTAGTATTATTTGAGGTCTGGAGTAATTGAAGGTTTTGGCTGCTCGTGGGGGGGTGGTCTTTGTGGGTTGATTTCAGGTTACAAATGGCAATGCCCAAATAAGCAATTTTAAAAGAAAATGCAGCAGCCAAATCAGAAATCCAGAAAGGATGGCCTTCAATAATAACGCTAAAACTTTTCAATCAAAAGGAAATCTAAAAGAATTGTAAAGGAAACCACCAAATAATCAGGTTTTGGAATCAGCTGAAAGCTCAGAATCAGCTTGGATTAATCAAGGTCTGGAAGCTGCTGAACATCAGGGTCCAGAAGAAATTAACTTATTTGAGGGCAATGTTGTTTGATTTTGAAACAATTTAGTAATATTTAGTATTAATCACGGGCCATGTATTGTTATGAGGTCAACATTACTGTAAGTACACCTGGGAAACCAGTCCCAACCAGAAACAGTTCTGGATGGAATTCTCCAGTCCCAGCCATGTCAAGCTGGCGCCATATTGGAACAACCAGAACTATTTCTGGTTGGGACGGGGTTTCGAGGCAGTGGATCATTTTGGCAGAGCCAGGCTAAGAGTCCCGGAGGCGATGGAAGAATAAATACAGGAACATCCAGAAAAAAACAGAAAGCCCGAAAATCGCATCCGGAACAGGACTCCAAAAAGCAGTAACCCATAATTTTGCCTTGAGTTGGGGCGGATGTCGATGTGCAGGCGATCATACACAGGAGGAGTCTTTTTGTTGCATTTGATGGTTCTTTTTCAGTGCCAAGCCATGCCGCAGGTGACTGTCCTTTGTGCGACTTGTCACCCGACTTCGAATCCCTCAGGAAGCGTTGTGCCGCTTGGGTCGCCAAGGATGGGTCGCGAGCCATTTGGGCACCCCACTGTACGATTTGACGAGTGTTTTTTTTTTTCCCTGCCGGAGCTTCCAAGAGAGGTTCAGTGACCTGAACTAGGACCCGTTGGGGTACCGAACTGGGATAGTCGAACTAGGGTTCTTCAACCTCTGTTGGTTCGTCTTCAGTGCTTTCCATGTGGTTCTGAATTCAGCACTTGGGTGCTTTCCAGCCAGAAGACTTCTGAAAAGAAGGTGCTAAGGTGGGCGATGCTGGCAACCCAATCAGTGCGCGTGGAAACGTGGAGCACAGGCCCCTCCTGCCAAAACTCTGGGCCATGACGACGGGGCATGACGACGGTCGCGGCTGAGGATGTCTACGACAATGCCGTGGCGGCCATTTATTTGACGAAGCGGGGAAGACTCGACGAGGCCCAGAAGATTTTGGAGGTCTTCCTACGTTTGATGTACCCCACCGACTTCAAGAACATCTACCCGGAAGCTTGGAGGGACAAGAGGCATGGCCAGGGAGCAGGCACGTGAGGTCCCTGGAGTTGAGATTGAATATATAAACTAAAGCCTGGAAGTCCGTTCGACCATTTGTTGAAATGGTTTACGCGGGTTCCGTAGTCTAAAAACCTTAGTACAACAATGGTTGTTCAGCAAAGACTGTTGGAAACAAGGCTTTCTCCGGGAATGCTTCGGGTAAACAGAATCACCACATGTCGCGAGTCCAAGGCGTTTTCTTTTCGGTGCCCGGGCACCGATGCCCTCTCGCCCCGGCTGCTACTGTACTCGCTGCCGAACATCCTTGGGGTCTGAACATCTGCTTTTCCTTTGACCCTCAGGGGGTCAAAGGCGATAACAGATTCTTATAAATTAAGGAATTCGGCATGGCGGATCTTTATTAAAAAGGTGCCTTCTAAAAATGGAACCATTCTTCTTGATTTCACATGAGATAACGCGGAACGCGCATGAAACAACAAAAAAATTCTGAACATCTGGGCGCCTCCAAGACATACCAAGACTTGAATCCATTGGAACCCCTTTTGGCCTCGGATCGGGGCGCCGAACCAAGCCGCCACGTTGTCTCCTCCGAATCCGGAGTTCAACGACCGACAGTCACAGCACCACACCGGAGTGCAACGACACCCGCTGTTTCGTCCGGTGTCGTTGACTTCAAGTAACTGCAGATGTCTTTGTCGACCGGGGCCTTAACCGGGGGCCGTTGGGAGCGTCGGACTTCGCTTCATCACGGACATCCAACAGAGGTTGAATGACCTGAACTAGGACCCGTAACCTGGGGCACCCGAACTAGGATAGTCGAACGTTCGGGTTCTGACCCACCTCTACTGGATGGTGGACTTCGTGTCGTCGACCCAACCCGGCGCGTGCTGCGCCGCGCCTACACCACGCGGACGCGACACCGAGGAGCAGCTCTACGGTGGGGCACCGTCGGGGCGCACGCTGACGCTGCTGGCTGCGGCGTACGAGTGCGACACTGAGGCGCGTTCCGTGGTGACGGAACGTGGTGACGGAACGACGGTGCTGGAGCTGGAGGTTTTTTCGGGTACAAATCGACATGTTCAGAGTTTGTAATATACTATTTGTATGGTCAAGCTTTTAGTCAGTCTAGTATCCCGAAGTAGCTGGGGAAAGTGTTCGACCTGGTGGTGCGACTCCACGGTTGAGAATGTTTGAATGGATTGCGATTGAATTCAACCTCAAAAACTCAACCGCAACTTTTGATTCTTCCCGAAGTCCTTGCCTTTATTGATTCCCTTTATGGCGGGGGGCCAATCACTGAATTCTTCAGGACATAGGAGTTTGGGACGACGCCCAGTGCTGCGTGCCTTCCACTACGTGCCCTCCACGGCTCCAGGTCGCTGCGGGGACTTATGCGTTGCCCCAGGTCTTTGATGGTGGAGTGGACAGCGGCAACAATGCTTGGGCAGAGCTTTGGGCAGCAACAGAGAGGTGTTTTTTTTGTTTCCCTCCGAGTCGGATCGATCAGAATGAGTCTCAGAATGGGTCGCGATTCATCAAAAAACAACCATGTTTGGAGGGTCTAGAGTTCCATACCTTTCCTGCATGTCTTCCAAAACAACCTATCAACATTGGCAAACACAGGTCATCTACGACCCCACGTCCCTGGGGTTGGAGGTTCACCGGCTGAGCCTTTGAGCTGACTCTTCCGGCTCGTCCGGGGCTCCACCAGGCTGCTGGAGTCAGATTCTTCAGGTGGCACCTAAGGCTTAGGGTGAGCTCCACCAGGCCCTAGGGCTCCAGTCATACCTTCTGAGGAAGGTACGACTGGAGCGCTATGGAGGGATTTGATGTGTTTTCTTGGGTTTGAACATCTGAACTTGAACGGGAGTGGATCCAGAGGGTGTTGCGAATTTAATGTTTAGCATCTTTTTCTTGGATAATCGGAAAATGCGCTGATTGCACAGATCTTGCTGTTTTGGCATCAGGTGGCATATTGGACCATAATAGCGGACTTGATCTATAGTTCTATAACTCTGTAATACTTTGTATATACTATACCCGTAAATCTATCGTTGTGAATTTGCTAAGTTTTGATTTGTAATGGTTGGATTAGAAATTGATTTTCATCTAACATCTTAAGTACCTTAAGCAACTTCATGCAACATAATGTTGGAACACCTATTTAGGCTTGCTTTGGCATTGTTAGTAGTTAGTTGTTTTCAAGGCTACCAGAAACCAGCTGTTATTTTCTCAATTGAGCATATGGCGTGACATTTGATATAGACGCAACCCCGTTTTATCAGACTTTATTTAAAATACAGTTCTTTGTTAGACGATATTTTTAGTTTTTTGATTTACTTGATGGCCAACTTGATGGCAATGCAGTGCTTAATCAACGCGGACTATTCAATGAAGATGAACTTCTCTGATGAAGATGAGCCTTTCATTTGTGAGATGATCCGAGTGCTTGGATCCCACGGGGTCCACACGGTCCCAAGGCCATGGCCTTCGCACACTATGCAGCAGAGAGCGGCAAGGGCTGCTTCCGCGCAGCGGCGGAGGACTTACTTCACGCCCTCGGCATGGGCGGGGCGTGTTTGGATGACCTGGACACATGGTGGGCATTTGGGGGGATCAAGGGTGGAGGTTTGGAGGGGCTTGGCATTTGACAGCTTGCGTATGTAACGTGTGGACTGTTGGACACCCCAGAAGTGCAAACAGTTCTGGATGCCTAAAAGATCAGGATGACCCTGTCCCTGGTCTAAACTGACTTGAAGACCCACCGGGCGGGACGTGGGTAGCTTGAAGCTCTGAGCTCTGAGCGGGATGCGGGAGGTGTTGGTGGAGACTGGAAGGACTGGTGGATGAGAACCCTGCCAACACCCGAGTCACAGCCTGTGGCGTGGAAATCCAGCACGCCCATGGTTTGTGCCAGCATGGATGAACATAGCACCTCTGAATCTACACTCCGTGGACCAATCATGGAAGTGGAAAACCACCTGTCCATAAAAGGCACATGGTTTTCCAAAGGGCCATTTTATGCAATCTTCATCAATTTTTCCACTTTCCGTGATAGCTCCAGGGAGTGTAGATGAAATGAAGTATGAAATGAGCTGAGCTCTCAACCATCGACTCTGCGGATGGTTGATCGGAGATGGATAGCCATGTCGGGTGCGCCTGGCGCCGGGGGGGGGTGAAAGATTGAGGTGGAGAAGAACCCTTGTAAAAACGGATTTTCCTTGAAAGGTAGAACTCACTTCCATGTCAGTGGGTCAAAGATCAAAGAGTGTAACTACATGTAAGACATTTTTTGCTGATGACGACCTAAAACGACGCTGAATCGGTCGACCTTGCAGCGACCCAGGGTGGTTTCCTTGGACGTTTGCCTCCCGCCCGTGGACACCAACGGTCCTTGGAGCACAATATCGACCTCTTCGCTCTCAGTGGAATGCTACAGAAGTGGGATTCTCAAGAACGTGCAAGGAAGTTTGTCAAGAGCATGTACGGGAAAAAACAAGGCGACGGCTGGGGGAGTCGCGATGTGACTTGTGGGATGTGAATCACATGAATCACCGGGATTGATGGTTAATGCATGTTTTGTGGCTGATTGAGTTCAAAGAATCCGGGATTGGGAAGCACAAGGCGCGATCACAGTATTTGGAGCTCTCAAGTATTGACTTGGGAGCAGGGCAGTGTATGGCGAACTTTCTTACTTCTCTTATTTTTTTCTTATTGGATCTTGCTTGAATTCCCCGACATAGCGGTTTGGAAGTTCATGTTGCTTAAGACGTTGTGAATCATGCGGACACATGCCGAAGGCTGACTGAAGGCTGATCTTCTGAATCAACATGGATCGTGGGAGACTAAGACATGGGCACATTCTTAGCCCAAACGAGAGAACTCATAGTCAAGCATAGATCGGGCTTGTTGGGCCCAATTGGGGAGGCCATCCCTCCGTGCCCCTTAAGGGGTGCCGTTCGCCGTTCGGCGGGTTCCACGAGGTGCTCGCGGAACACGACGCCAGGACTACCCCGACGCCTACAATGTGGGCACCATCGGCGCCGACGTGTGCGATGGACGGTTTGCACAGGGTGATGGCGTTCCTGCAGATGGGCAGTGCCCAGTCGTGAAGGTGGTGGAAGACCAATTTTGGGATCACGTTGCTACGTCTTTTGGTCACTTCGATTCCCGGAAGACTTCAACCTGGGTTGAACGGAAATTCGGCCGGTGGAAACGAATATGGGAAGTTCGCGGTTTCAGTGGTTTCAGAGGTTCGATGGCACGATCGGCACCCCGAGATGTCTTGTCGACAGATGGGTGTCCTTCTAAAAAAACCGCTCAACTATAAACGGGCGGGTAACTTGTGCCATCTAACTGCTGAAACCATCCGAAACCATCATTTTTGCTGCACCTTCGGCCCCCCGTAACTCGCTGGCCGCTCCTCCCGTGCAGGATGGTAATGATGTTCACCGTCCAAACCATTTCTCCCTCCATTGGGACCACTACGAGAAGGTTCGTCTTGGAAGCCAAGGTGTAAGTGACCCAAACAGAAAAGCACACCACCCAAGCGGCGCTCTTCCGAGAATAATCATGGTTACCTGGATGGCGCCCCTTGGATGACCGTTTTCCGAAAACCCAACAGCCTCCCGCAACTGGATCCTACAAATTTACTGCATGTTCCCTCTTTAACCCCCCTTGTTTTTCCCATTGGTTCAACCCGGCTTGGTCACGCCGGAGCCTCATTCCGTTCCGGACTTCCCTCTCCCGACCTCGCCTTTGAACGTCAAAAGACACGATGTCTGTTTCAACTCTCATTCTGTCCACAGGTTTTGGAATCTGCTGGCGGAGGTGGATAACCACGCAGACCGGGTGGGCAAGTCTGTGAGCTGGGTCATCTATTCGGATTGGCTCTGGGATTTCGACCAGGACCCGGTCTGGGGCGGTCTGGGCCTGGTGTGGAGGTCTTTTTGTTTGGATTTTGGAAGCCGCAGCGAAGGGGTGAAAGGTATAATATATATATATATGTATACATATATATATAACACATACACACACACACACATATATATATATATAGTAGGTCCAAGTAGTAGGTCGGAGAGGGCCTTGTTGGCTCCTTTGTTCTTTGCTTCTCTTGTTTCGTTTGTTGGGGTGTACGTATTCTGGGTTTCTTCGGTGGCTCCTTGATTGGTTGCTCATGTTACTCTGGGTGATTTGGAGGTGGCAGGGTGTTTGCTCGGTCGGACTCGGACGAAGAACTCCAAAGGACATGCCATGTTAATAAATTGTAGATATCAATAGTAACTACCCCTAGGGCTCCAAGTACCTCCTCAGAAGGTATTTGGACCCTCTAAACCCACCCCAAACACCTTCTCAGAAGGTACTTGGAGCCCTAGGGTATGCTAGTCAGCGAGTTCTTGACTTTGAGAGTTACGTCTTCCATCTGTCCATGGTGGTAGTCCAAGATCACGCCATCTTCCTGATGTCGGCAACATCCACTCCTCGTTCTGTACCGCTTGACCGCGCTTGACCGCGCGGCGGCCCGTTCACACCGCACGGCCGACCGGGAGGACAGCTTGTCCGGTTTGAGCCCGGCGCCCACGCTCCATGGCGCACGCTTCACCTCCAAAGGCTTCGGCATCCAATTCGAGGAGACCCATGGGTTTTGGCATCGTTTGTGGGGTCGTCTTCAAGACGAATTGAAGATGTAAATCTTAAGGAATCTAAGAATCTAAGGTCCAAGAAAGGGTGATACTGAACACACTCTCCAAGTAGCAGCTCTTTTGATCTAGTAGGTGGTGGTAGGTGGCTGGTTCAGGGCCTTTCATGCGAGAGATGTTTTTTGGCGGGGCCGTGCTGTCACCGAGGCCAAGCGTTCTCAAAGCAGCCACTCAAAGGGTCGAAACCTGTCGCATACCCTAGGCCATCCATGGGACTTTGGAACATCTACCTGCATTGACAATACAGTGGCATCAGAGTAGATGGCACAGACCCCATCATGTCCTAGACAGGTAGGGGTCCATTTTTCAACCACCGAACTTGGAGTCTGTGCCATCTACTCCTCAATCCATTGAACCCCCTAGCCGCCCTAACCACCCCCACTGCTTGCATGTTGGATGGGTCAAACACACCTCTCTTCGCCCGGAGCTTGGCCAGGCCCCGCCTGGGTCGGCCGACACAGGCGGCCGAAAGCTTTGCCGAGACCGACGGACGTCCCGTGAGTCCCGCGGCCCCAGGAGACGGCGGGCGCCGTGATCGCGTTGAACCACTTCCTACACTTTCGAGCCTCGGGCAGTGAGGAAGGCTTCAAGAAGCAGATGAAGCTGCGGCTGAATGCCAGCAGGAGGGCGAGACGTGAGACATGAGACGGAGATAGACGGAGCACGTCACGAGGTGTGAGCACGAGATCGCGGTCAGCGGTTAGATGGTTTAGCGGTTTAGAGTCAACTTCTTTCACAACTGGTCATTATAGAAAGGTGTGTTTGTGTCTGGAGAGTGCAGGCAGTCAATCAGCCAATCTGAAGGGTCTACCCCACGACCGTGTCCATTGACCTGTTGAGACCTATCGTAATTTCATCGTCCCCCAGCTACAGTTAGCCCATTCCAAAAGTGACTGATCTGGTTTTGTACTATACAGTCCTGAGTCCAAAAAACACTGACTCTTCGTTGGGATTCAGCCCATGTACTCAGGCGGGCTACACAGTCAAAAGCCCTTGCCCCTTCCCAGCAGGCAAACAGGGCCACCTCCTTCCCAGCCCACAGGACCTCCTTGCGCACCCTCTTGAAGACCTACGGCGCGGTGCCGGCCTCCGTGCGCGGCGGCAACGGCGACGCCTACAACGAGCGCAACGCCTACGCGGCCGATCCTGGTGGATCGGACACGGGGATGGGCGCCTCGGTGGAGCGATGGGGGGCGCCGGCGCCTGGGCGGGGAGGTGCCTGGGCCCCCCAATGGAGCCCTCCGAGACGGGACTGAGATGATAGAGCTGTTTCTTTTTCACCGCGGGAGGTCTGGCAGGTCTCCGAGGGGGTGACAGACTTGCAGATCTTCAAAGTGGCAGGTGGTGACCTGTTGGCCGCCGGGTGCTGTATTCTAAGATGATATGGGGGATCATTGGGGGTGGTTTCAAGGCACATGGAGCGTTTGGGATGGGGGAAGCCGTTTGGGACACTTCGACGAGGCTTGACGGAGTCGTGGGCTCAGGTGCAGGCAATCCATGGTGATGCCGAAAAAAGGAGCACTCCCCCAAATCCGCAAAGCAACCGTGATAAATAGCGAACATGTGCTCCGTCTTTTTAAACCCATGCCTTTAGCAAGGGGGTCTGGAAAAGGGCTCCATGAATTAAGATGAGGAACTGCGCATGGCTTCGCGGGACGCTGATGGAGTCAGCACAAACCGAGCGCGCACCTCAAAACCTTTCTTCAGGTTTTCGGGTTAACATGTATCATGCCATGAAGTCTTTCTTGAGAAGACCGTCAACTCCTGTGTTGATTGGTCGGATTTTTGGTTCAATCCCCGGACTCCAAGGTGCCGGGTCTCGTTCGTCAAGCGGCCACGCGGAACCCCGGGGTGCTCTCCCGAGGCTTCCCCTACTTACGGATGATCCATGTGGCCTCGACGGCTTGGACGGGGCTGGCCATGATCTACCAAACCAGCCACGAGACGGGATGGGAAGAGCCGAGCTGGGGAAGAGGTGAGGATGGGAGGTCATGAGGTCTGTCTATGAGGTCGGGGGGTGGAAATGCAACTAATGCAAAAAAGGACTGGTGGACGGTTCCAACGCCTTTATGCGAGGTATGTGATGATCTTTGTGTTTTTCTCGGGTGTGTGCGGGGAGGCCAATTGGAGGATATTCGGGGTCTAAAGTTTAAGCCTTAAACTCATGGCCAATCTCCACTATCAGCACTGCACATTAAAGTATATAATTACATAGGATGTTGGAAGGTTCCTTTCTTCGACGCACTTTTGACTATGGGAGTTCCACCCAACCCATGGTTTCATCAGGTTTCTTTCTTCGCTGGACACTGTGGAGCGTCATTAGGCCTACATCTTTGGACCACCCAAGGGTTGGCAGCGGGACGTCCTTGGATCGACCTTGTTTTGGATCGACCGGTGTGCCATGCGATCCTGTACGATTAACAGAGCTGACATCCGCCCGCAGACATGCGCATCCTGTGGCCTTCGCATCATGAGCATCATGGTGAGATTGACAGACGAACCAAGCTCTGTAGTTGAAGCTCTGAGCTTGTTTGGTGTTGTTTGTTTATATTAATGCAATACAGTAGTGTACAGTTTGGGTCCGTCCGAACTTACCTGTAACAGTCAGTAAACAAGGATCACCATTTTGAACAAAGACGTTTAGCAACCATCATCATCCACTGTTGCTGGCAATAGGATAGACTGACCCAATGTATAGTCATATATCGTCCCAAACTTTCAAGCGTTTGGTTTCTCTAGAGAGCGGGTGTGTATTGGAGAGCACGCACTAGACCAAGGCCAAGACCTATCAAAAACACTGTAAATACAATGCAACATTTCAAAAACTGCTCTGAGACCTAGGCGAAATATATTTTTCTATCTTCCTGTGCCCAATCTCTATGTGCAATGTCAATAGTAATGTGGAACACCAATGCAGTTTCACTCTTCTTTGTTCAATATCAATATCGGCCTGGTCATTTGTATTCATTTGTTCTCAATATTATCGGTCAAAGCTGTTTGGCTTTGAATCTTGAAAGGACTTCAGCTTCAATATGCAGACTTCAGCTTCAACACTCTCCCCTCAGCAGCTTCGCCTTGATCCCAAAGAACCTTTCTATCGTTCCAATAGATTTTACATGTGTTCTGATTGATTCTTTCTATTCTTCCATCGGTGCTTTAAATTCTTTGATGTCCTTGTTTTCATAGGCAAAAAGCAATCCAAATAACAGTACTGATTTGATTGCTGTATGAATTTGGCTTTGGCTGGCATCTTGCCCAAACCAAGAGAAACAAGAACCACGACCAGGCAATCAAAAAGATATATATATATACATATATACTGTATATACATATATATATCATATATCATATGTCACTCTTTGCTTTGACATGGAACTCAATCAAATTTCTTGTGCCTAGTCTAGCTCCATACCTTCTTAGAAAGAGCCAACCAAACGAAACAGCTTGACCAAGAAAATATCCTTGTGACGATTGAAGCAGCCTTCCTTTTTGTTGCCCAATGCTAAGGCACAGAACAACTTATGTAAGCAAGACAGATACAACCTATTCGAGCAAAAGAAACACCTATTGAGACAGGACACCAGAATAAATATCTTGTTGCCTGGATAGAAGTTGACTGATGCTGTTGCAACTTGGTCTAGCTCATTAGCTTCTTTAGTAGTGCATTCCTTTAATTGCATGTTAATGCTCTCAAGAAGGCAATGATAAAACAAACAAAAGGCAAACTAACCCTTGTGAAGGTTGAAGCTGTTTCCTTTTGGTGCTCAATTTGAAACGCATTCGAGCATAAAGAGAAGCAAGCAAGACATATACATAACCCTACTGAAGCAATTGAAACGCCTTTCGGGACTGCGCCTCACAAAAACCTAGGTTTTGAGCTATTGTTTTGCTGCAATCGCAACGCCAAAAAGAAACAACTCCAATTCCTATAGTAATAGTGCCCTCATTTTGTCTCACACACTGTTGATATTATATATATATATATATAATGTTCGTTTTAAATGTTTTTGGTATACTTTTTTGGACAAAACACAGCTCCCAGGAGCACCCGTTCTGTGTTGACATGATGACAGTAGGTCCAATGATCCCCTATGACTCATATATATATATATATGACTGTTGCTTTGGCTTCAAGGTGATGAGGATGAAATCTCAGTGGCAGGGAACCCCATGAAGCTTTCCAAGAGCTTGCCGCCGACAGATAGCTATTGTCTGCCAAATCAGGACACTCCTGTGTCTTGGATTCGATTTGTTTGGTGTTTCCTTCTTTTTCTCACTCACGGCTGATGTGGCCCCCCCGCAAGTTTCGTTGGAGGTCCCCAGCATACGGCTGTAGGTCATGGCACTGGGATTCCTTGACCTGCCGACCTGTCGGTCGTTCGATGCTGGACTGGTCGGGCTCCAGGTTTTTTCATGATGCATCCCCATAGGCAAGCTGGTGCAGCATCTTCATCCACAGAAGTGTTGGGAATTAGATGTCCAGGGCCTTCAGGCAAACCACGTGCTCATCCACTCTGTGACCAAAGGTGGCCAGCAGTGTTTTTTCGTCAAACCCACGAATGATAATCTGGGACGACACATGGGACCAAAGGCACGGGGAGGCGTGGGATAGGACACCTGACACCTTGGACACCCGTCCGGCACTCCCTCAGGAATCCTTTGTCTCTGACCAAACTTGCTCTGTAGGTAGGTGGAGTTGAGGGCAGCCACACTGTCGAAAACACGGTGTGCAGAACTGGTTGCCGCGAAGGCCAAGAAGCGGCTTATTCGAGTTGCAGGTGGCTCGCCCTACGGAGTAGGTGGATGCGAATGGACAGTGCAAGTATAAGAACCTGCTGCACTCATCCGTAGACCGTCGTTGTTGCGAGTCCAGCTGCTTCTCTTGTGCTTCTTGCAGCCAAAGATGGGCAAGCCACCGAGCAAGCAGCCCCTTAACTCCCTATAGATCATGTACAGCACCGTTTCACTTCGAACTGAGAATCTCAGCCACTGGGCTGCGGGCCGCCAAAGTTGCAGCCCACGGGAGGGCGGGTCCACGGCAGAGAGGCCCAAAAAGGGCTGCAGGATGTCAGCCCCGGTGCCCCATGGATCCCAGAAACACCGCTATATTATATACTATTATTGTAGTGGTTTCAAGAAGTAGATAGCACAATCCCCAAGTTTGGGTGGCTCATATGGGCGTCTTTCCCTCGGACGTCTTTCCCTCCTTGACGTCCTTGATCATTTTGATCCCTCTCGCACTTTTGAAGCGGAGGCCGCGTGGAGAAGCTCGAGAAGGACCATGTCTGGGCGCAAAAAGCCACGGACTTCCGGTTGGCCAAAGGAAGTAGGGACGATCTTCAACTCTTGGACGCATGACTGTATCTTCTCCAAGGATCCCAAGGGCAAAGGACTGACTGAGTCACGAACCGTGTACTTAAAACTATATGACTTTTTCGGTCAAGAACCTCGAGTATAACTCTATAACTCAATGTGAAACGCATGTATCATGATTTTCCCTTCATCCAAAGCTTCAGATCAAGCCCTCCAATCGGCTGACACGCGTCTATCTTCCTCTGACACGCCGACTCGGGGAGACCCGGTGCGTGAACTCGGGTGCCCCACGGGCCCGCGGGCTCTATCTGAAGGAACGAATGGGTGCAACATGGTGCAAACATGGTGGAACTGATGAACCAGATGCACTGATGCACGATGTGTTCTTTTTTTTTTTTGGGGGGGTGTTCTATCGATCGAATCATGCGGGGGTTTCTCAAACATTCTCAACCTTCCACAACTGCCAGTCACGTGCCCTTTTCGGGTCACAAGTGACCTCGCTTTCGCCAGGACAAGGAGATTCTGCAAGTTGATCTGGCCAAAGCTTTGGCGCGCAACGACGTGCTCACAGCGGGCAAGGCAGGATCGGGAAGGTTTTGGAGTGGCCGAAGGTTAAAAAAGGGCACCAGATCCCAAAAGGGGCTCATCAGCTCACCTCAGACCATGAGTTCAGATCGGGGGGTTGAAACCTAATCAAGAGATATTAAGAGATCTAAGTCTACATGAAGCGACCCCCGCCGTGTATTGCCAGGCCGCAGTGGAGGATGGGCAGCTGAGAAGCTTGCAGGCGGAGTGCGAAGCGTTGAAGGATGAGGTCACCAACAAGGCGCTCCACCGGTCGGGCTGGGTGGTCCATGGGTGCAGGCGTGGGCAGGCATGGCATGGGCAGGCGTCACAGGGGGTCGCGCACATCTGGATCCGTGCACCCTGCGCTTAGTCAGAC